TCATAAATAAATTATTTCGACTGTTCAATACAATTAACTATTAAAAATTAATCACACTTCACTTTAAGTGTGGGAGACCCATGCTTCGGCATGAATGGCCCCGGCTCCACCGGAGTGACGGGGGATAAAAGGCACCGAAAAAATCAATAATAGCTATCGTTGAAATCGGCTTAAAGTCAGTTAATAATTAATACTAATGAAAATGATCTGTAACAATGAAAAGTAATCTCAAAACATTAAAAATCGCCATCTTCCAACACTTAATAAAAGTCGTTGCTTTAAAAAATTCGACTGCGTTCGTAGATTTAGGGGTTGATTGCATTTTTTATTTATATTTTTCATAATTATAATTTTTAAGGGCTTCTAACGATAACTAGTGTGGTTTGTCGAATCGATGTAACGAAATAAAGATGGTAAAAACAATATTTTTTATCGACAAAAGTATCGATTTAGAAAATGCTTCGCGTGACGTCTAGAGACGTTTAAAATTGGAAATGAATGAAAAATTATTAATTTAAAAAGGTAATGAACGGGTTGATAAATCACATTAGTTAAATCGAGGTAAATACCTAGTGATGTCACGTTGTAAAGGTTGACAAATCGATTCTAATGTAACCGATGATCTATCGATATTTGTAATTAATATATTTATTTTTCTTAATGAAATTAGAATATTTTAGCTAGCAAATGGAATGCTTGCAATGTTTGTAATTAATTATATTATGTGAAGTTTTATGGAACATTTTAATTCTATGTTTATTTATAATTTATTTATTTTTTAAATTAAAATCGCAAAGAAATTAATTTATTTAACATAATGAACTTATCATTTTATGTAAGTAATGCCTTGTTCATAAAACCATTAAGGCTGTGTAATTTTTTTTTAATCGGCGAAAATAAATTACGTTCCAGTAATACAAAATGTATGTACTGTTAATATATTAAAAGAAATATAAATCCATACTTATATCAATTTTTGTATTACTAACCAATTTTAATATTATTATTTATGAACTACACACAAATCACAATTAAAATGTTCCATTAAAAAAAACAAATATAAAAAATAAAAGACAAATTACAGTTGATGTAACAATTTTGCGTAAATTTTATGTTTTTTTTTTAAATTATATTAAGTTGTTCTAAGTTTGTATGTGAAAAGGACAACGATGTAATATAATATGCGTATCATCACATTATGTTGTAGGTTTGTAGGGTAGGCAGACCGTCTTGTATGATTTTGTGAAGCTTTTCAAATAGGTAATTGAATGTAGTAAAATGAATTTGGATTGAAGGATTGAAAAGGGAATGTTACGCTGGTTTGGACATGTAGAAAGGATGGATGAAAGTAGAGTAACGAAAGAAGTATACAGAGCGGATATGAATGGGGCCATCGGTAGAGGGAGCCCTAGACGGACATATAGTGACCAGATTGGCGATATATTAAAGAAGGGCCAAATTAAAAGTACCCTTAACCGACGAGCATGCATGAAAAGATTGATAACTGGTAATGAAGCGAAAGAGGTATGTAAGAATCGTAGTAATTGGCGTTCCTTAGTCTCTGCCTACCCCCATGGGAGACAGGCGTGAAGGTATGTATGTATGTATGTATGTATGTAAAATGAATTTGAAATGAACTGTTTCTGGAATACACGAGGTTATATATATATATACTACTCAAAAGAGTTTGATGTTTGAGGAAAAGAATAGTATTTTTGACTTCGATTGTTTGAAAATGAAGTATCGAAATCGAATTTCGAAATTTGATATCAAATGGAATCTGATATTGTGTATCAGTAGACAGACAGTAAAAAGGATATAATTCCAAGAAAGTCGCCATAAATTGGGCTTAGGTACTAAACTACATCTCTGCCTATATCTTTGGAATATAAAAAGGCGTGATGTTATATTACAGAATAACATAAACTTTATACAGTTAACTAATAAATCATCAACAATCTATAAGTGGCCAGCTGACCAAATGCCTGAGAAAGGTTAAGCATTAATCACCATGCTTTCTCAATGCAGGTTGGCAATAATAAATGGCAATACATACCACCTTTATCACAATAAGGCTAATAACATCAAAGCCAATGATATAAATAACTCTTAAAATATCATCACTACATAGTATAAAATAAAGTCGCTATCCATCCTCTGTCTGTCCCTATGTATGCTTAGATCTTTAAAACTACGCAACGGATTTTGATGCGGTGTTTAATAGATAGAGTGATACTTAAGGAAGGTTCATATGTATAATACATGCATATTGCACTCGTTCGAAGTCGGGGCGGGTAACCTATGAACCTACAACATAAGAATATAATTAGTAGGTAAGTAAAGTTATTTATCTATACGTAAAGTCACTACTATATATAATTAGATGTAAATAAAGCAGCTTATGTATAAGACTATTATATAAATATTTTGATTACGACTGACATGTATATTGTGTAACATATATTATGATGTTTCGTTCGTTCGTTCGTTCGTTTGTGTGGATGCATTTATTTTTTTGTGAATGTTGTACTGGATCTTGGATATTATTATTAATATGAAATATTATACTGTGACTTTACAGCTGCGAGAAAATGAAGCTACTTCAATCTGTTAGAATTTATCTACATTGAATTTTCGGCTTTTAATCTAAAATCTTAAAATCAAATAAGGTCGAAAATCGATAGGACGGACTAGTAAGCTACTGTATGTATGAGCTAAGGTCGATATAAAGTAGAGTACTGGTTTTGCCTGTGACGTTGATCCTCTGAATTAAGACTGTCCCAACGACAGGTCGTAAAAGCTGTTGTCTATAGATTTAGCTGAAATGTGCTATAACTATATCTCTAAAAAGCAAATCTACAGCTAGATAGATTATTGAGATTGGTCGTATCAGCAGCTGTAGCCAAATGCCATTTAGCGCTTGTCTACTTGTAGTGTAGAAAACTAAATTATATGGGATTGACGGAAATTTTGACACTTGTCAGTGTCATACCCATACATTTTGATTTCTACTCTCTCTGTAGACAAGCGCTAAAGTGGCGTTTGGCTAAAGGCCCAGTATATAATAAAAGGTATTCTATGTTTCTTG